GTTACTAGTAGTAAGGCCAGGAGCTACTAGTAGTGTCCGATCGCTACTCGTAGCGATGCCAGGAGCGCCTAGTAGCTTCTTGTTACTACTAGTAAGGCACCTGTTACTAGTAGCGATGCCCTTTGTTACTAATAGCGATGGCGGCCAAAGCTTGCGCAGGAGCATCTTCGAGAATTTGCCACAGGACGGGTCCTCGCAAGTCATGTGGACTGAAAGACGGCCGGAAAACCAGAGGGACCGGAAAGCCTGTTTCATGAGGAAGATGCTTTTGGATTTGATCCCGAATCAGGCCGCAAGTTCAGGCAGGTGCGGGTTGCAACTTTGGTCTTTTCTCATCTCAGTTCATCTCAGTACCTTTGTCTTTGAAGGTTGTTGCTGATCATTAGTGCTGCACTAAGCAGCATCACCTCCTTCGCTGTAGATCGGGGCGCTGGTGTCTTACAGGCACGTGTGGTCGGAAAACCGAAAGACGAAAGATGTCGGTGGAGGTTCAGGCCAATGCCAGAGTAGTCGTAAGTCGTAAGAGTTTCAGATTCAAACTTTCATAGCAGTGACTTGTCGCCATCTGACACTCCAGGGGATGACAAAGGAGCTGCTGCTGGTGGTCGAAGACTTCATGGGTTTCTCCTCGCCACTTTGTCGTTCCAAGTGGCGACGTAGCACAGTGGTAGCAGTAGAACTGCAGCCCTAGTAAGGCCAGCCCCGTTCGTAGCGTCCTTGTTCGGACGACAGAGAAAGGGATGGAAAAAAGGATCCACAGAGAAAAGAGAAAGGAAACCGCAAAGCAATAGCGATGGCCTCCAGCCTACCAATGACAAAGAAACGACGAGTTGAGTCTGTGTAGTGGCGGAGTGTATCTGGCAAGCTTTGTAGCACACTTGTCGGTTTGTCTTTGCTCAGGAAGATCTTGCACTTCTGGGTCATATTTTTCTGCGCCTTGGCAGGTGTAGAGATCCTATTCATTCTTGAAAGGATTCGTCCAGCATGGGGTAAATAAACGGATCCTGTGCTTTTCTTCATCTCAACGGACAGAGTGTTGCATAGTGAATCATGGTGAGACATGGTGAAGCTATTCGGTTGGAGGCCGCTGGTGGTCACAGTGCGGTGACTGTCACCCACTCACGCCACAGGCAACGGCGCCTTGCTCTGGAGCGCCTATGCTTTGGTGCGCTTCAGCCCTGAGGCGGCTGGCTCAGGTCTCCCGGAGGTGAAATGCATCTTGAGCGCCTGGGACAGAAGAAAGACGAAAGACGTAGAAAGAGGAAACACACAATACATCAAACATGTAAATCAGATTCCTTCAAGAATTCGATTTGGAGATCGGATTCCTTCAAATTAGATTGGTTTCTCAAGCAAACATTCTCCAGCCACTCTTGCGTTGAACGAGTTTTGCAGAGTCTCGCAGGAGTGCTTCGCATCCGAGGTGGCATCGAGCTTTCCAACTTCCTCCAGCCACGGGTGTTGGCGGCCAAGTCCCTGGGTCTTACCCTGGTTCTTGGGGCATCAATGCCGGTGGGCAAGGACAGGGCGTGCCATGAAAAAGAATTTGGCATGTCCGACATGTTTTCGTGGTGCACCAGTATCTGTGAAAACCATGTGTTTTCAGACAAGTGTTTCAAGGCAAAACACGTGAGTCACAGTTTTTGCAAATGCATAGCCCGTGTTAAGACCGGCTGGCCACTCAGTGCACCGAAGGAAGGGCCTTTCGTGCATATCGCATCCTGTATCAGTGCGATTCTGCTGCCTCTTGACAATACCTGGTTTGAAGTGACCTGGGGCCTAAGCCTATAGGGGTTCTGTGGGTTTTGGTCACCTTCCCATTTTGTAGGGGGTTACAACGGACACAAACACAGACACGCTGAACTGACTATATTGCAGAGCAGAACCTGGCAAAAGAATGAATCATTTGGCCACTTCAAGTTCTTTTTCTGTGCAGAAACAAGCATTTTTGTCACTATTTGTAAGAATCTAGTAGGTGGAGGTCATCGCTATTAGGTTGGAGGCCATCGCTACGAGTAACAAGAAGCTACTAGAAACAAGCGCATTATCACGCGCTTTTTTGCATTGATTCTCCTTCCCAAAAGCTCCCTCGGAGTTGTCGCCGAGGGAGTCGGAGCGGTGCTTTGCTAACGTGAGCTTGGACAGACAGGAGCAGTTTGGAATCGCTTCAAGTCTTCAACAAGCTGTGGAAACACGAAGTGAAAAGAACAAAGAGAAAGGAAAGGTCACGAAAGGTCTAAAGGTCCAAAGAACACAAAGTGGCTTCCAAGTCTCTTAGGTGCATAGTTTCAGCCGCTTGAACTAAGTTTTCGATGCCATGGCGGCCATGCTTGTCATGCTTGAAGCTACCAGGAGGTGCTGCTGGCTGCAGTGGCGGTTGGAGTGGGTGCCACCTTTTCCGCTCCTGTCGGAGGAGTCTTGTGCCATGGCAGACATTAGCGTTTTACACTTTTTTAGCCCGGCAAAAGGATAAGTAATCAAACATATATAAGTAGCTTTTTAGGCGCCAGCCGTAAGGGTTTGGTTATGAGATACTTGTTGAAGCCTAACACTTTTCCAAGCACGTGTTTTCAAAGTTTCTTCTAACAGCACCAATTGGAAGCAAACAGGACAACGAGTCAAAGGTGAACGTTGAAAAGGCCATTTGTAGCATGTAATATAGAACTGAGAAGATGTTGTTTGTCTTGCTTTTGGAGGTGACCAAAAAGAACATTTCGGCAATTTGACAAGAATGCTTTTGCAAAAAATGCATGGGCTTCCTGGCTTTGAGCAAATTTTAGCATGGGTTGTATGTTCCAAGAGTTGATGAAGGTTCGCCTTGGAGCTGATGATGCCAAGACTGTATGACACCTCCTCATATTCCGCGTGCTTCTTTGCTTCCACCTTTGGGACCTTTGACACTTGGATTTGAGAAGGCGCGCTGCCTTGCTTCGCCTGAAAGTGGCGGCCTTTCTTTGGTTGGCGGCCATTGCTCTTAGGTTGTTGCCTTTCTTCCCCATTTGTCTGTCGAGGAAGGCTGAGAAGGCCGATGCTGAGGTCTTCATGTGCTTGAACATGCTCTTCTCTGGAAGTGGTCAGCTGAAGCCTCTCTTCAATTCAGACATTACAGCTGAGCAGGGGCCCACTTTAGAGGCTGAGAGGCTTGGACACAATGTGGTCAGAGAGTGTGTGTGCTTTACTGGCATCAAGTATCTTCTCCATACATCAGACAACTGACTTGGGTTCATGGATTCTGCTGACTCTTGATCCAGATACTGCTTTCTTGGTGGCTTCCCCAAGCTTCCTTTGGCCAAGGATCCTTTTCATCATCCTTTGCTTGATCACTGGTGCGCTCAGTGGAGCTTTGGCAAGTGCCTTCGTGCTGTGCCACAGGCGGGGCCGTAGCGCTGGTAGGTCTGAGAGAGGCTGTGAGGTGCGCTGGTAGGCTGTGAGCATGTGCTCACCAGGCGTCCTCACACGAACCTAAGAGCGATGGTGTTCACCCTACTAAGGCGCGCGGTTGGGGCCATGAACGCTCTTCGAGGTTTAGCGCCGCTCTTTGGGGAGACGCCACTGGGCATCCACTCCGAAAGCATTAGGATCGAAATCGGTTCTATGGTTCCGACGAACTGGGAGAGTTAAGGCATTTCTTTTGAAGCCTTTTAGAGTCTTTTAAAGCCTTTTTGCTTTGTTTCTGGAGAAAATCAGGAAAGCTGGCCAGTCGGTACCACGAGACCTAGTGATCTTCCTTTGTGCCGGTGGCATCGGAGCGATGCTGCAAGCGGGCGCTGGCAGCAAGCTCCTGACTTTGGGCACTGGGCCGTAAGCACCTCAGCTTTATGCTCTAAGAGCATGCACCCTGGAAGAGACGCACTTCAGAGCCGTGTTTCTTTTTCAAATATGTTTTTCTATCAGCTGGTTGAGATACTGTTTAATCAAATTGCTGTCATTCGGCGATGGCTCAGGTTCCTCAGCTGCATATTTAGCACCCAAGCTCATCTTACGAATCCAGAGCTGGCTACGTTGGGTGGTCTAATGATCCTCTTCTTGACGCAGCTTGGTTTGAGAACTGCCGCATGTGCGGTGCAAGTGCGAGATGCGGAAGCTGAAATGAAAAGGGCTCGCTACTAGTAACAAGTGCATCGCTTCTAGTGACAAGTGCCTTACTAGTAGTAACAAGGACGCTACTAGGGGCTCCCGGCATCGCTACGAACGGAGCGATCGGATGCGACTTTCCGATCACCGGCTCTGAGGAAGACTAGCTTCACGGTCATGGCGCTTTCGATGCCTGTGCCGGCAGGACTGGCAACAAAACGAGCAGGTACTGTAGCAAGCATTGCATCACCCTTTTTCCTTTCTTCTTTTGCCTCAGCAAACGGCATACATGCTGCTTGGAGAAGACGGTCACATTGAGAGGAAGAGATAGCGGGAAGCCTTTGTGCTGTTGTGACAACGAAACATTTGAATCGGTTGAGGAGTGGTGGCCCCATCATTGATGCTGGGAGGAATCTTCGGTCGCTTGGTGGCTGCGATGTTGCCTCAAAACTGTATCGAATATTTGGCGCCGGATGGGGACTTCGGACAGTACATCGCAAGGCTCGAGTTTGTCGTTTCTATCGAGAGGCAAAACAAACATGCAGTGGAGTTGGACACTAATTTAAGATGCCCCAAGCATCAGTCAGCAAACATGAGCGATGAACTTCGCAGTGCCTATGTGGAGAAATGGAAGGAAAGTAGGAATGATAAAAGAAAGAAAGGAAGAACGAAAGAAAGGCCTAAAGGTCTATAAAAGGAGCAATCGTCTAGTTGCCAATTAGGAACGAGTGGAGGATGGAGAGTACTCCTGCAAGAAAAACTATGCTTGCCTGTCACTTTCTGGGTGTCGGGAAACAGACAAATTTTAGGTCCTGTCACTTCAATCAGAGAATGTCAAGCAAACCGCTGAGATTGAATCGTGCACCGTGAGGCTGGCGATTGTGGGTGCCACTTGCTTCTGCGGTGCTGTGTGCCGTGTTGGGATCTTGGAACATTTTTGATGACTTCTTAGAATATGTTTGAAGAAGACAGACCTGCCTTCTTGGACAACTAACCCGTGCTACTAGGTTGGAGGCCATCGCTATTAGGTTTGTTTGTTTGATCAACAAGATCACTAACCCTAGGGCTCCAAGTACATCGGGAACCACATTGAAAGCAACCAGGTGAACTCCGTGGTCGTCACTGTCTTCGAGCTCATCGCTGTCCCGCGATTGATCCTGCCGTTGACGTTGGCCACGATGCTTGGACCTCTCAAGAGATGCTCTTTGCTCCTAGTAGCTTCTTGTTCCTAGTACTAAGGCCAGGAGCCCCTAGTAGCGTCCTTGCTCCTAGTAGCGATGCCCTTTGCTCCTAGTAGCTTCTTTTCTTGGCACCGTGAGATGAAAGAAGAGGTCATTTTTCCAAGCAACATCAGGGTCTTGAGGGATTCAGCTTGATCAAGCTTGTGAACATAGCCAGGATTGTGTCCAACTTCTGTGCGAACAGAGTCTTTGCAGCAGCCAAAGGGGACAAAGGATGAAGAACAGTATGAATTGATAATTATTCATTATCAAATGCTATTTGTAGTTTTCTATGTTGATGTGAAGCCAAGGTGTTGGTCCCTCTATCTTCGACTCCATCCTCCTCATGCGACTTGCCTTAAGTCTTGAAGGGTCCTCGATCTTTCCGCCACATCCGTCCGCAGGAAGAAGATCCCAGCCATGCCGACCTTGAGGGCTTCGGCGCGTGCCTTGCAATCGGTCCGGAAGGCCAGATCATGCAGACACATCACGATGTTTGAAGATGATTTTTACTCTTTCCTTTGCATTAGGATGGAGGCCATTGCTACTATTTCAGATTTCAGATTGTGTGTTCTTGCTTTGGGCCATCCTGAGATCCTGGATCCAACGATGATGAGCCTCTGCCTGCCACGCCGTGCCCAACGTACCGACTTCACACGATTGCATTTCGTCGCTTGGTTGAAGTGGTTGAAGAGCCCACTTCAACTCCCAGTATCAAGAAAGAAATGGCCTCCAACCTGATAGCAAAAGGAACCTAGTGATGGACTCCAACCTACTAGCGCTCCCAGTATCAAGATCGTGGTTCCAGTATGGTTCCAGTGTTTGAGCATTTTGACACCATGGCCGTGATACAATCCGAAACTCATCCAGCCGTGACAGATCAAGAAGAGCCGAGAGGATGAGGGAGACTCGACTGCACGCTCGGACTGTGGACCTTCGCTGTGCCTTCTCCAAACAAAGGTAGGAACAAGGATGCTACTAGGGGCTCCTGGCATCACTACTAGGAGCAGGGACGCTACTAGTAGCTCCTGGCCTTACTACTAGGAGCAATGTTCGCTACTAGGAACAAAGGGCATCGCTACAGATTCTCTTTGAGAACAGCGGTGAAAGGTCAGAGAAGGTCGTCTAGACACTGGGCCCAACCCCCGGAAACTGAAGCAAACTCAGGACGAAGCGTGCCTCGCATGATCCCCATTGTGGACGAGGCCTCTGCAATCTGAAATGTGGATCATCCATTTTGTGCAAGAAAGAAGGATAAAAGACAGAAAGAAATGGCCTCCGACCTAGCGATGTCCTCTGATGGCACTGCCACGATCCCTTTTTCTCCGTGACTCCTTACAAGCCCTGACGATCGATTTGTCGGATCGTCGACATCGTCTGACGAAAGGTGAAAACAGGTGGTGAACCTCGCCTGGTGCTGCTCGGTGCTGTGACCTGGGAGGACTTAGATGCTCTACAGGTGGCTGGAGGTGCAGTGCAACAGCACGCAGCGCAAGACATGACAAGAACTTCATCCTAGTGGCGTCCTTGCTACGAGTAGCGATGCCAGGAGCTACTAGTAGCGATGCCAGGAGCTACTTTCTTCGCTCAAATGCACTGTTTTTAGAGTGGTAGGCGAAGACATGCTGGTCTCGGCCGCGAAGCTGGGCAAGATCTTGCAGGATCCTTTGCGCATCAACCCTCACATCTCCTTGAAAAAGGCGCCATGAAGCGGAAGCCTATTAACAAAGGGCATCGCTACTAGGACGCTACTAGTAGCTCCTGGCCTTACTAGTAGGAACAAGAAGCTACGAGGAACAATGCTGATAAGACTTTCAGAGTTGAAGATCAGATTTGGATCATGAAGTGTGAGATCCGAGATGTAGAGATGGGGTCAAACATTCGCAGAATAGAGCATGTTTTTATGAGACTAGGAGCAAGGACGCTACTAGGGGCTCCTGGCCTTACTACTAGGAACAAGAACACTACTAGGAGCAAGAAGCTATGTGTTTGGTCGGAGGCCTACATCGAAAGCCAATCAGTTCCACGCAAGGGTCCTATGATGGTCGTCGAGGAACCTTGGGGTTTTGATCATCGCATTTTTTCTGAAGAAACAAGGAAAAACGAAAGCTTTCTCTATTTCTCAGCCTTCGTCTCCCTTTTGTAACTTTCTTAGGTTGAATTAGAGACGCTTGTTTTGTTTGAAAGCAGTGAATAGAAAGCTCTTTTTGTTCTCAACCGTTGCCTATGTGCTCTAGAGCCCTCTAAGAGCTCGCCACAGAGCCTCTAGAAACCGTCCTCTTCAGAGGAACAAGCTGGACCTAGTCTTACCCTTTGGGCCCTCACTAGTCTCTGATTACTTCTTTCAGGCAGAAGTGAAACAGTTGGTCCAAACAAGGCCAATCGGGTTTGTACAAATTTGTATAACTCAAACAATAAGAATGGCTGGAGGTCCGCCCGTCACTCACTTCTCGAGGACGGCTTCCTCGTGGGCATCTTGCCGCACGATGATTTGGTGCGTTCCGGAGCTGAAGCCGCCAAGCGCGGCTCCTGAGCGCCCCCGTCGAAAGCTTTGAGAATGACTCAGAATGACCAAATGACTACATGCTATGGTTTTCAGTGGTGCAACAAGACATGAATGCAGAAGAAGTCACAATATATGATGCAACAGTGAATTAGACTCAGACTACACACAGGCACTCAAAATGGAACGATCACTGCGCTTTACGGCGATTGTTTGCAGAATTATGAGCTTCATGGAGCTTCATCGAGCTTCATCGAGCTTCCGATTTGGTGCCCCAAGAGACACCGGTGAAACTGGGGGACACTGGAGCTGTCACTGACGCTCTGAGCTTCTCAAGAAGAGAAATCAGCAAAGGCCACGTCTGTGTCGCAAATGCCACGTTTCAAGAGACACCGAGAGGAAACAGTGTGCGATGCTCAAGATCGGCTTGATCTCTCTATCCCATGCGTGCAACTTCACCTGCTCCGTATGGTTTCTCCTCGCCGATGGTCCGAGGCTCATCGGCTACGACGAGGTACTTGGCTGGAGTCCCTAGATTTTTGCGTTGAAACTGCATCTGGGCTCATCGGGTTCAGGTTGATGGCGGTTGATGGTTCATCTGGACATGACAGGTATGCGCCAAGACTTCAGATCGAAGAGGACTTGGAGAGACATGAAGGCTGCACTGGACTCAAGTTTATCACAGCTCAGCTGCAGCTCCGTGCTTCAGCGGATGAAATGAGCAACAGGAACTTGGCAAATGAATCCAAATGAGCTTCCCATTTCCTGACGTGAACTCGTAAACTTGATACAAGCTTTACCAGCTTTGCCAGCTTTGCCTAGAGGCATTCTTGTATTTATATATATATATGTAATATTTACATTTTCTCGCAAACTCAACTTCCTGCAAGAAGACTGAGGTGTGAACTGCTTGGCTTGGAGCCGTGATGGAAGCCTTCTAGTCCGGAGCTTGAGCTTGAAGTCGGCTCGTGGCTCTTTGGGAGCTAGGAGCGATCGGACGCGACGAACGGGGCTGGCATCGCTACGAACGGAGCAAAGAGACGCTACAAGTAACAAAGGGCTAGAGCTGCTAGCGGCGCTCAGCATGGTTCTTTTGGTTCGTTCACACTGGTGAGACATGAAGAGATCGTTCCTTCAGTAGGGTCTTTTGCTCAAAAGCTTTGAAGCCATCCAGACGTATACCGTACAACATTGCAGCCAGCCGGTATAATTTGGCTTGCGCACGCTTGCACATCCTGCACACTTGACGCATGACTTGTTGGACTTAATTTGATCCCTCTGATTGAGGCTTCCGGCAGCGACGACACGTGCCTTTGCATTTGGTCCTACAGTCTCAGGCAGCTGCAGCGGCAGCTCTTCCTACTTTTAACCATTGAAAAGCAGTTTGAAAGACGGTTGATGTCGGTTATCCAATCTGATCAATGAAATGACATCCTTGCAGACCTTCCAGTTGGCCAGGATGCGGTTGAAGCTCTGCCTCAAAACAGGGCATGCTGCAAATATTTTTGGCCACGAGCTTGGGGCCAGCTCTTTGAAAACGGAAGTAGCCCTGGCTCAATCTTCTTTCACTTCTACCATCAGTTCTCAAGCCATCTTAAGCCTCTCTGCCAGAGTTCACTAGATGACTAACGTTAAACATTTCTTTGCCGGGAAAGAAAACGTTTCCGCCATCCGAGGTGTGGCCTTCTTGGCCAACGAGCCACTCGTGTCCACCTGCTCCGTCGATGGTGTGGAACCTCAAAGAGTCCGGAGGAGCACACTGCGACGGGACGTGAAACACATACTACTAGGAACAAGGGCATCGCTACTAGAAGCAAAGGGCATCGCTACAAGGAGCAAGGACGCTACTAGGGGCTCCTGGCCTTACTACTAGTAGCAATGTTCGCTACTAGTAGCAAGACAACAAACGACATGGGCGTCTGCTACGTTTGTTTACTCTCTGTTACTAGTAATGCAAAGACCGGATTAATAAACCCCCCCCCCACATGGTAGGTCAACAAGGTCAAGAAGGTATGAGATACCACTCATGAGGTCCACTCCCCCTGAAATATCGGATCAGGGAGCCATCGTAGTCGCAGTCGTCATCGGTAGTAGGTAGTAGGTAGTAGGTAGTAGGTAGTAGTCGGTAGTAGGTAGTAGTAGGTAGTAGTCGGTAGTCGGTAGTAGGTAGTAGGAAGTAGGTAGTAGGCAGTAGGTAGTAGGTAGTAGTAGGTAGTAGGTAGTAGTAGGTAGTAGTAGGTAGTAGTAGGTAGTAGGTAGTAGGTAGTAGGTAGTAGGTAGTAGTAGTCACAACAAGTTTAAACAAGCACAAAGAAAAGGCCAGGGACACAGGATCAGATTAATAGGGGGTAGTAGTGCAGATTATTGATGGGGGACCGGCCCTTGTGAGGGGTACCCTTTGTGAGCTTGTCAAATGATTGTTTTTAATTGTTTTTTAATAAGGCAATTTATAGGCCCTGAGCCCTAGACATTTTTAAGGATTTCATCAAACATGTAGTAGGTAGTAGGTGGTGATGGTGGTGGTGGTGGTCGTGGTAGTAGCACGTAGCAATAGCAGTAGCAGCAGCAGCAGCAGCAGCAGCAGCAGCAATAGCTACAGCAATAGCTAGTAGCAGTAGCAGTAGCAGTAGCAGCAGCAGCAGCAGCAGGAGTAGTAGTAGCAGTAGTAGTAGTAGTAGCAGCAGTAGCAAGTATAATGTCAAGTCAGGATAAATAAACCTCCACTAGTTAACCCCTTATTAAAAGTAATATTATTTTTTGTTGGATTGTGTAGGCTCGGATTAACTGGGGGGGGTTGTTGGTAGAAAATTAGACAATAGGGGGGGAAATCAACAGCGAATAATACTTTTAATTTGGGCAATTTCCGGGGGCTTTGTGGGCTCGGATTAACTAGGGGAGGTTTATTAATCCTGACTTTGCATTAGCGTTCTTGTTACTAGCAGCGATGCCCTTTGTTCCTAGTAGCTTCCTGTTACTAGTAGTAAGGCCAGGAGCTACTAGTAGCGTCCTTGCTCCTAGTAGCGATGCCCTTTGCTACTAGTAGCTTCTTGCCAATGTGAGTCTTGTGTCAGGCACCGTGCGCCTCATGGACATTGCTGCAGAGCGTTGCGCGTCCGCCGGGCCGTCAGGGGGTTCAGCGAAGCCCTTTCCGTGGGAGCTCACGGGAGTGCGTTGAATAGTTTTTCATGTGTGCCGTCGTGCTATGTCATGCTGGATGTGTTCCTAAGACTCACCTTTTGGTGAATTTGGCGATGAGCCATCCAGTGCGAAACCTAGGTGTGGCGCGCGCACACCAGAGGGGCCAATAAAGTCGCCGGGAGACTCAGTCTCAACATGGAACTGGATGTCCATCGACCCATGTTGAGACATGTGACAACTTCTCCAATCCCCCAACTGGGATTACGTGAGTTACAAAGCTTTAGAGCCCAAGGTCTAGATAACCCTTTACTGCAGGCAAGAATACTGTCTGGAACACCACCTTGCTATCAGGCCCCAGGTCTTATTAGATCTTGCTTTTGGTGTTCTTTTCTGTTTTGCTTTGGACAGGCCTTTCTCTTTTCCTTGAATTCTTTTATAGGGTTCTTCATGGCCAGTCCTTGTATTCTTTCGGCTTGAGTCACGACCGACATGGCTCTATGAGGTGACCACCTGTGAGGAGCCCAACCTGGTGACTTCTTGTGGAGGTGACGGAAAGGTGCTCAGCTCAGCTCATGGCCGACCAAGACACTTCTGGATCATTCTTGACCGTCCTTATGCAACGTCCAAGGTGAGACAGCATGACAGGCAGGGAACGTCCCTTGCTGATTAGCTTCTTGCTACTAGTAGCGATGGCCTCCAACCTACTAGCTGCTAGCTTCTTGTTCCTAGTAGCTTCTTGTTACTAGTAGTAAGGCCAGGAGCCCCTAGTAGCGTCCTTGCTCCTAGCAGCGATGCCAGGAGCCCCTAGTAGCATCCTTGCTCCTAGTAGCGATGGCAGGAGCCCCTAGTGGCCTTTTGCTACTAGTAGTAAGGCCAGGAGCCCCTAGTAGCGTCCTTGTTCCTAGTAGCGATGCCAGGAGCCCCTAGTAGCGTCCGTGCTTCTGGTAGCGATGCCAGGAG